TCCTCACCTTGTAAACTATTAAATGCCATACAAAAGGTAAGATATTGTTATTGAACCAAACTCATCAGATAGCTGAATAATCATGATAGGCCTTTAAACTTATTAAAAGGTCAAACGAGACACTATACTTGTCTGCCCTCCAAGGTTTGTGGGTCTGAAAGCCTTTTGCACACAGTTATATCGCTGCATCTGTTCCATGGAGCATGGAATGTGGCTTGCCAGAAGGCAATACATAAAACTCAGACTTTGCCTTCCAGACATAAACAGTGGGATTTAATCGATCAAGCAGCAGGGGTATTAATGTTCAGCCTAGAAGGAGACATTGAAAATTATTCTTTCAAATGAAACTACAAGCTTGAGCAGGGTCTCAGTGGGAGAAGAACATAGCTTTACAAGCCATACAGGACCCATGAACATGTTCAAGCCAGGAGATTCCCTCAAAAGAGGGGAAAAAACCCAACCCTCTGAATTCAAGCTTATTACATGAACTGCTTCAGAAACTGCCATCGACGTCATGGACTGTAGCTCACTTCTTAGTCATTATGATCCTTTCAAAGTCTGATCTCTTTTCCACAAATTTTGTTTCAAATATACATAGTCCTTTTATCTTCCAACAAATTCAAAGTTTAACTTGAAATAAAGTTTTATTTTCCTGCAGATCTCTAAGGTCTTGTCCAAGAAATTAGTGTTTTACTTTTGCACATTTTTTTCTGTCTTATGCTTATTTATGACTAGAAAGCCCCTTTGAAACTCAACACAGCATGTTGGATTATCTTTCTCTCTACTTTGAGAATTTAGGGTAGCTGCCACTGGGTGCATGGTTAGGTATACCATCATTGTTTATTTCATGATTTTATCCTAAAACTTGAGTTTGGATTAATACTATCTGATTTTATCCATTCAAGATGTATAAAATGCTTATGGATGAATTAGTAAATTGAAAGAATTCACATTTGACATTCACATACTGGCTGTGATACAAANTGGTCTAGAACTTTATGTAAGAGGAATCATGAATATATACTATTTTCTTGCCGGCTTTTTTCGCTCAGCATAACGTTCTTTGATATTTGTTCATGTTGTTGTTGTTGTTGTTTTGTGTGTGTGTGTGTGTGTGTGTGTGTGTTCATAGTTCATTCTTTTTACTGTTGAGCAGTATACCATGACATGAATACAGTAAGTCCCTGACTTACGAACATTCAAGTTGCGAACTTTCACAGATACGAACAGACCTCACATTACGAACATTCGTGGATGCGAACAAATCGCAAAAGTAGCTCACGTGTCTGCCGGACATTGTCACAGTTGTGCTGTGTGCTTACTGTACAATGCGATAGTGTACAGGAGTACAGTGTTCAATCAGAGCCCAAGATGTCCCAAAACAAAAGGAAAAGCAGTGGTGATGTGGAGGGGACTGCTAGGAAGCGCAAAGCAATAACCCTGAAAACAAAAGTGAAAATAATTGAGAGATTGGACCGAGGCAAAAAGATGGTAGACGTCGCTCATTCTTATAACATGAATTGTTCAACCATTAGCTTTACATTGTATGTTTGTGTCAAAGGTGTATAAGACACACTTTGTGGAACTTACGAACGAATCCGACTTACGAACGTTCTCCCAGAACGGAATTCATTCATAAGTTGGGGGCTTACTGTATACCATATTTTGTTTATCCATTCACCTGTTGGTGGGCATTGGGATTGTTTGCAGGTCTTAGAAATTATAAATAAAGCAGCTATGAACATTCCTTACTGGAGGCTCTGCATCTGAATAATCTTTAAACCACATGAGTCCTTTGATCATGTGTGGGGCAGGACAGCTTGGACAACCGTCAG